AATGTAGCTACAAAAGAACAGGCACAGTTTAAATACAGACATTATTAGAAAACATTCCGTGCAAATTGGTTTCAAAATGAAGATTTTTATCTTGAGGAAAATAGTACTATTTGATCACAAGTCTTGTACTGTGAATAAAAAAAGATTAATTTGTACACATCAATACAAAGCCTGGCAGAGGAATCACTTCAATTAAATGAACAATTCCCCATTTAAGGTGTACTTTTGAATGAGTCATGATTTAAAAAGGGCATTGTTTATTCATTTTAAGCCTACAGAAAAAAAAAAGGGAAAAAAGATTAAAATTTCTTTTTATTTGCCAAAGATTAAATAAAATGGGGTTTGCCTTTTGGCTGTCAATGCCAAATAAAAACACTCATCAATTTTTGCAAAACACTCATCAATTTTTGCTGCTGGGACCTCCAATGTCACCAGGATATGGGGCACCACCATACAGTGAAAATGTAACATTTAGTCCTATTAAAAAATAACATTAACAAGTTTATTATGGCTCTTTTTTTTTTTAATGTGGCTCAGCAACTAAACCAATTCCAGTTTAATCTTTAATTACTACACACTGTTCATGCTTTGTTTTTAAAAATACGTATGCATTTTTATGTATGCATACTGTGTCCAGCTTTGGAGCCCTCAACATAGGAAAGACATGGACCTGTTGGAGCGGGTCCAGAGGAGGGCCACAAAGACGACCAGAGGGCTGGAGCACCTCTTCTATGAAGACAGGCTGAGAGAGTTGGGGTTGTTCAGCCTGGAGAAGAGGAGGCTCCGGGGAGGCCTTGTTGCGGCCTTCCAGTACCCAAAGTGGGTCTACCGGAGAGCTGGGGAGGGAGGTTTTATAGGGACATGCAGTGATAGGACGAGGGGGAATGGCTTTAAACCGGAAGAAGGTAGATTTAGATTAGATATTAGGAAGAAATTTTTCACTATGAGGGTGGTAAGGCACTGGAACAGGTTGCCCAGAGAAGTTGTGGAAGCTCCATCTGTGGAGGGGTTCAAGGCCAGGCTGGATGGGGCTTTGAGCAACCTGGTCTAGTGGGAGGTGTGCCTGCCCATGGCAGGGAGGTTGGAACTAGATCATCTTCAGGGTCCCTTTCAACCTAAACCATCCTATGATTCTATGATTTTTCATAACATAATGCATAATTATTAACATATATGGAATATTATTAAATACTAGTTATGAGACATAAAAATTAACAGACCAGAACTATTTCTGCAGAATGTGCAATTTGCATAAAGGCAATTGTTCTTCAAAACAAAAACAAATAGAAAATTCCCCCAAACCTCAAACCACAATCTGATCTAAAATCATTATTATTAAATTATAGAAATGCCTGGATAAAGATGCCATGATTACATTGCAAACTGTTTACAAATCCTCTTCTTCCTTCAATCATTCAAAAAGACCTAAGATAGTATCTTGCGTTTCCTGTGCCAGCATTGATATTCAACATAAAATACAATGATTCAGCTGCTAGGCTAGTCACATATTTTTTTCTTGGTTTTCTAAATACCTCAGTAAGAACATCAAAAGATGCACAGATGGGAATCATAGTCAGATGACTAAGATGATCTTGCATCAGTAAAATCCAGAGATGCAGCTCTTTTTATGAGAATATGATCCTTTGAGTGATAACTGCACAATTTTAGCTGATAAATTCTGAAACATCAAGAAAATGCAAGAAGAGTGGGGTAGGTTGGGGAGTTACATTTACTGTTGCATCCAGTGTTAAATGTGAAGCAATTCCTTGGACGTATGCATGTACATCCCTGAGAGTTAGAGTGATCTATAGATCATGAGATTAATGGGCAATCTGGCGACTAAAAGTCCAAAAAGCATCTAAATGACCTGGAAGCCTAAATTATATTTTCAGAAGCCAGTCATTGCTTGACTGTTTATCTAATTTATTTTGTTAATGAAACAGGCAAACACCCTATCTCTTTGTCAGATAAGATGATATACCCTGAAGCCAGGACGGCAAGAAATGTTGTCAGAAAGACTTACGAGTTGTTTTCTTGTTCAGAGCCATGGTCAGGAAGGCTTTAAGTTTTATTATTATCAAAGCAATTCAACCTTCATCTTTAAGGATATTATAATATAACTGAATGACTTTAAAAATGCCTATATTTTGTGGCAGCAAACTATTTTTCAGAAAAAACTTTAAAGAAACAACACACTTGGTAACCATGCTGAAAAGCAACATGGAAGACTTTTTTCCCCGTGGAGCACTGCCTTTTAGCCTTTAGAATTTTGTCATTGTTACAGATATGGATCAGGTCCTCAGTTTAGTTGAGAAACCTTAAGAAAACAGCTTTAAAACTTCTCCCCTCCCCAAACAATCCAACACAGCACCTTTAGTACAGCTTTTTCAAGGTGGACATGCAGAAGAAGGTATACACATCAACTGCCAGCTAGACCTGAAACAATACATTTCTAACTGATGTTGGCAGCAAAACCTCTGAGCTGTCACATCCACAGAGGAAAAGCTAAAGATACAGGAGAAAAGAACTGTTCTAGTCTCATTTTTTAAATAGGGGTGTGTAATTACACACCAAAATTACACACCAAAACATACTCAAACCACTTCATTGATGAGTAAAATCCTTGAGAAGTATCAGTTCTGATAGAGATGTCAGAGGGAGGGGAAAAAAAACACAACAGAACAGAAATAACTGTCATTTTTGCTCAAGAACCTAGTTCATTGAACTTACTGGATGAAAACATTTTGACATTTGACTGACCTCCAACTACAGAGCTAACAACTTCTTCCATCTCCAATCACTAAACCTACTTGTAGAATCTCTGTTATAAAGAAATAAAATAGCCTATATCAGGAAGAGTATGTGCAGCTTATGTTACATTTCCAGACAGAAAAGTATTCTGGAAACAATGAACTTCATACAGTAATTACTTCTGCTTGGCACCTAGAAGCTTATCTAACCAACATTTGACAATTAATCCCAATGCTCTCCTGTAAAGCTTAGTTGATCTGTTTTATCATCATCATACACTACCAAAACTCAGAACACCTTAGACAAAACAGATGCAAGTGGCAATCATGGACACAAAGTGAAAAATTCTTCAAGATAATGGTAACACAGTAGGTATAACTATGAATTAGCTGTGGTTATTTTAAAAATACACACATATTAATATTTTTCAATATTTCAAATCAAGGGGATTGGGGAAGATGAGGAGTGGACTTTACTGTCAGCCAGACTTGTTTATTAAGTGAATGCTTAATGCTATTCTGTTCTACCGAGTGACTAAACATGCCTTCTTGGGGCTTTGTTATTAGTCTTGTTATTAGTCAACAAAAAAGTTGTGCAGATTTGAAACAATAGAATATTTCACAACTTTTCAAACTCAGCAAATCTAAAACTTTCAACCATTTTTCCTTCTCATGCATTATCACCAGGAATGATGCAGATCTCCCTTTGGGCACACAGAAACTTCAGTAAAACCACTGCAGAGCACTGATTACCAAAGGGAAAAGAAAAACAAAATAAAAATTATTTTGATTTAGTCTGACTCCCTTAGAGACCACACAGTTAACATTGGTTAAAAAGCAACAGTAGATAAAAACAAACAAGCAAATCCCACCAGATATGATTTTAACCACATGTACAGAGATGTTGAGTAAGAAGAGCCTGTTCTTACACCACCTTCCAGGTAGCCTGTTAAAAAGAGCTGAGCAAAGAGGAAATACTTTATATAATGGTAGAGGGAGGGAAAGAGGGCAGGGGGAAGATAAAACTACTCATTTACTGAAAACATTTACTTGCATCACCATACATAAGCAACAGAACTTGAAGGTACATTATTTGGGATAAAATAATGTATGTAGGTACTATATAACCACTTCTAAAAGTAAGAAAGCAGACAAACAATTATTAGGGACAAGCAGAGAGCTAAAAGTCCTTGCGAGTTTAAAATGAAAATATTACTACTTAATTTCCTAACTTGGTAATCATTGAGAATTGTTTCTCGGCCACTGTTCTCAATCTGGATATTCCTGTTGGAATCATTTGCTATATAAACCATTTTTGCAGTATCTGACAAAACTACAGGTTTTATAATTGTATTTTTATTCTTTTATTTTCAAGAAGCAAGCATACCATTCCTATAACAAAGGGAAAACGATCTCCAATTGAGACTGAATTGCAACTTCAGTGCTTGTTGGCATATGCAACTATTGATCTCGAAAGACAGTAGAAGCAAAGGCGCCTTTCTCCTCAGTACCGAGAGAATCAACTACATTACTTAACAAGTTTTTAAGCTAATGAAGACAGTTTGAAAAAAATGCAACTAAAGATAAAAATTTTCATGGTTATTTGTTCTACTGTTCCTTGTTTGTAACACTAAAGGCACACTCAGAAACAGTGTAATTAATATTGACTAAAATAATTTGAATAGAAATTAAGAAGATACCAATCACTCAGGACAAATTTCTTAAATATTGCATAACATAAAGAGGCAAACTCACAAATAATTCTTGAGGCAACAATCCTGTAAATACTTTTACATTTGTTTAACTTTACAGACAAGTTATCTTCCCACATATCAATCAGAGTTTGTAGGATAAGGGATTTAAATACGTAAGTATTCTGTGCAATCCTTTACTTTTTTCCCCTATTTTTCACTTTTTTCCATGAGGTAATTCACGTCTTTTCCTGTTATTTATACAACAGAATACAACATAAACCTGATTTACTAAATTAATCTATTCACAAGTTTAACATCAAGAGGAAGCCATCAATGGTAAACATAGCTCGGAAACAAGGCTTCCTAGTTAACCTGGGCACCCTCTGCTGGCTGGTGCTTACATAGGAAGAAGAAAAAAAAAAAGGGGGAAAAAAAAAAAAGCTGTGTTGACTTTATGTATACATATACATTCACGGTGAATGTACATCTAAGTCTCCAAATATATCTTTCAATCACTTAAGTTGTTTTTCAACCCTATTTTCTACAAAATATGAGCATGTACCTCTATCGCCTAACAAAAGACTATTTGTCTCAACACAAACCATGGTTTTCTCTTATTAACGATGTAGGTAGAGCTACACGTGTTTTACTACTATCTATAATTTACATTGAAGAACCTCGTTCCTTTACACCCCTGCAAGACTCTGGATATCCATATGGATTTTGCTTAGGTGAAACCTGCCCTGTCAACTCTGAAGTCACTGGCAATATCGCAGATCCACCAGACAGTAGGTAGAGCAAAACCTGCTCTTCAGAGGGGCAACTGCAACCAAGGTGTTAGTGTGTTTAGCTCACTTCATCCAAATAACCGCAGAGCACCACAAAAAAATCACAGGAATCTGTCTTTTGTTACACTATCAGTGAAGATTAAAGATTCTACTCAGAGATCCCGAAGAACAGACAGGGAAACACAGAAGATCAGCAGCTTCCACATTACTCCATTTGGGTGCCTGGCCTCTGGCAAGAAAGGGAAACGAGTTTTTCCACAGACTTCAGCTGCTCCGCTGGGAAGTAGCTGTTGATTATGGTGACAACCTTTGGGACATAGCTCTAAAAATATAAAAATGAAGTGTCACACATCTCAAGAAGTTGCCGTTGACCCTGGAGTTGTTTTAAACGAACAAATCCTTTAAAATCCGTCCCCACAAGCCCGGGTACACCCCATCCAACACAGCAGTATCCAAAACCACCCGTGGCGGTGGCGGACAGCCCCTCGCAAGTGTCATCCCGCGGGGAACGCCCCCCGCTCTCCGCCAAAGGAGAGGCAAGTTCCCACTTTCCCTTAACTGAACTATCGCTAACAAAACCTTCCTGCCTTTATTTTAAAAAATAAGGATTAAAATGCTTCCGTTTACACGCCAGCGCGTTACTGCGTTTACTCCGGCCCCTCACGGGCAGCGCAGCCGGGCCTGGGGCAGA